CTCAAATACCCCCAATAAATAAAAATAAAACTAGGAAAACCCTTAATAGCCCTGCAAACTTCCCCTCACCAAAAATTGCTTAAACCCAACCTACTTGTCAAAAAACCAATAAATAACCCGACCACACTCGAATTGCTTTGGCCACTTCTCCAAACTAAATACATCATTCGCTTACTAGCTAAACTAATAACATCATCAGAAATAATCCACGACGTTTTTCCTTATGGATTCTTCCCCGACGAATAAGGTAAGTACGAATTAAATAAATTATTCTAATAAATTCGAAACAAAACTAACCATTCTTAATAAATGTTTTCTCTTTTTCTTTAGTCTTCACAGGTACGATCATCAATCATCTACAAAAGAGAAAAACGAAACAAAAAACAGAAAACTTTTTTCTAAAATCAAAAATGTAGATGAACCAATTACAATATATGAAGCAGTAAAATTTACCCCCAAAACAGCACTAATTTGATAAATGAACTCTTTTCCCATATGCAATAAATATTCTTAAAATGAAAATAAATTGATAATTTCAATCCACCAAAGAAAGCCGTGAAATTAATAATTTCAAAGTAGTAAATTAATAAAAATTGCCTATAAAATTAAAGCAGTACTAACCTTTTCAAAGACGCTTCTTTGTAGTTTTAAATTTTCACTCGCCCATAAATTCTATCCAAATTCGCATTGCTCGCCCACAAAGATTTGTTTAAAATAGTGAATTTAACTTTTAACTTTCACTGATAATAACTTTAACCAGTTTTAACACATTTAAAACTTTCCTTTAACTTGGTTGGAAAGGAATTATATAATAATCCAAACTAACCAACGCAAGCTTACTAAACCTTACAAACCACGACCTAACAGCATGACTAGGAAAAGAAAACGCACGGTACCCAAACCGGATTAAAACAAGCTTAAAACTGGATAAAGTATTCTCTTAAAAATAACTGAACTAAAACTAGTTATTAAATAGTTTCAAAGTTTTGTCATTAACAACGGAAACTGCGATAATGCGTTTCTCTAAAACTGTCTAGAAGGCTAAATAAATTTAAATTGAATTTGTCGCAAAAATGATTCATTATAGAACTTATTTGAGACCCATAAATGTTTTTATATGCAAAAAAGTGTAATTCATTGAAAGCACGGTCAAAAAACCCAACTGTTTAGGATAAGCTGAAGATATTAAAAAAAAATTGTTCAGAAAAGCGTGGAAAACTATTTTCAGATAAATTTCTTCATTCGAATCTCTTGCATATATAGCGTCGGGGATTGAGGTTTGCAACCTATGTTGAGGTTTTAAGGGTCGAGATCGCGCGCCTGATCGTAAGTTGCACTGAGTTTAAATACGCGGAAAAACGTCCATGAAAAGGCATAAAAACAGAAGAAAAAAATGCGGAAAAGCCAAAAAGTGGCACTAAACAATTTCTTTTCAGTTTTTCATTGTCTTTGCCCAAGAAATTGAGCAAAAATCTTGAGTCCGGGTGTATTGTTCAGCAAAAAGTTGCACAAAGAAATCATACTTTTAGTAGAGTTGCTTTCAAGCAATCAAGAGTTTCCATGTGATTCCTTGTTCGAGTTTGAGAAAATCAAGATGATTTTTGACATTGCGCAAACACGCGCAAAAATTATTTGGCTCCACAAAACCTTTTTTAATATGGGCAAAAAGGCAGCAAAAACTTATCTTAAAAAGAATTGTATCCGTCTAAAGAAACAAGAAAAAACTGAATCTGTTTAAGGTAGCTGAAAACTACTTCGAGTGAAAAAATCGATTTGGTTGCACAAAAACGTGTCCTATAGTTTTTAAAAAGTGCAAGAAAGGCAAAAAATCAACTAGAGGTTGTCTATGCACAAGCTCCAGTTACAACCATGCAACAAATTGTCGAAAGTATCAGATTTCTTCAACGCAGCTTTTGCAAACAATCATGACAAAAGTGCAATGAAATAACTACAATTCATACGCGGAAAGTGTCTTTTGCATTATCAAAAAAGATTTGTTCCAAAATTGTTTTCATTGGAAAAGCAGAATCTAACAAAATTTGAAAGCTTTGTCGATGACGATGAAAACTGCGATAATGCGTTTCTGTAAGACTGTCTAGAAGGCTAAATAAATTTAAATCGAAATTTCTTGCAGAATTGATTCATTATAGAATTTTTTGAGCCCCAGACTTGTGTACATATGTATAAACTGTACTTTGCTAATAGTATGGTCAACAAGCACAACTGTTTAGTATCAGCTGAAGATATTAAGAAAAAACGATTTAAAAAATGAAAAATGTTTAAAAGTTGTTCAGATAAAATTGTTCAATCAAAACTCTTGCAGACATAGCGTCGGGGATTGAGGTTTCAAAAGTCGCGATTGCGCGTTTGATCGTTACTGGCACCGAGTGTAAATACGCGTAAAAAGACCCAAGAAAAGGCAGAAAATAGAATAAAAAACTCGGAAAATCCAAAAAGTAGGGTTTAACATTTCCTGTTCTATTTTCATTGTCTTTGTCCATAAAGTTGAGCAAAAAGTTTGTGTTCGAGTAAATTGTTCAGAACGAGAAAAAAGCTGCACAAAGAAACAATACTTCGAGAAAAGTTGCTTTTAAAGCAATCAAAAGTTTCCATGCGCTTCCTCAAAGAATTTGAGAGCCAGGGTCTCCTAGATTGGTAAGGATAAACTCAACTGAAAAATACGTATTTTAAAAACTATTCTATATATATAAAGAAAGAAAGAAAAAACATAATCTGCATAATATACCGACTGTAAATATGCGGAAAACGACCCATGAAAAAAAAGAATAAAAAACGAAGAAAGTCTAAAAAGTAGCGTTAAAAAACCTTTAATAAGTTGTTTGTCGTCTTTGCCCATACATTTGAGCAAAAATCTTGTGTTCTAGTAAGTTGTGCAGCAAAAGTTTGTGCAATTAAACAATACATCTAGCTGAGTTGCTTTCAAGCAATCACACGCTCCACATATTTCAAGCAATCACACGCTCCACGTATGAAGTTTTTAGTGAAGACTACATACATAACTTGATTATTAAAAAATTCAAAAATCTAGGTTCGCTTTTTTCAAGTGGCAAATTCTGATTTTTTTTGAGCTTGAACAAAGCTTTATGGAAAAAAACGAGCACAAAGATGCAACTAATTGTCTTTACTGTAGACCCAACTGAAATTATTCCCAAAAAAACGACCTTTTTAATTTTGGATCTTGGGTAGAACGCAGTTTCATTTTTTTGTTGTTATATGCTTGATTATATGTAAGACTATCAGATTACAGGTCACAGTTTTTAAATACTACAATTATTTTAAAAGAAGATTGCCATATAGGAACGAATAAGTTTTTTGTCCTTGTCAAGTCAAAACAACAATTCCTTGGTGATTCTTCAAATGCCGTTTATCTGTGCAACTCATGCCATCAAACTGCACATGAGCTTTTTATTATGAGATAACCTTTGCGCTGTGGTTACTGTGCTTGCAGACAGAACACTAACGAATTACGAAAAACTCGATTTTCTGTTCACGGAAAATGCTACTTGTGAGTTTTTTTAGCTCTGCAAAAAATAAAATATCCGTATATGGAAAAATGTTTGCAAAAAAAAGTTTTGCATTCTTCTATAGGTATTAAATTGTATAAAAAATTTTAAAAAACGATTTTAAAAACATGAAAAAATGTGATAAACAGTTTTGGTCGAACCAAAAGCACACATATTTGAGATATAGCTTGAGCTGCACAGTCTCAGTAGTTGTGGCGTTCAAGCTTCTAGTGCCAGCCTCAATACGCTCCCTGAAACGAGAGCCTGTTAAATGAACGGTTTCTTTCGTTACTTCTTCTCCGACCTGAGTTTAAACACCAAGTTTGATTCCAAGATGTTTTTTTTTTGCGAATGTGCCTAAGCAAAATGTGGAAGAACTCTCTTTTACAGACGTTGTGAGAAACTCTATATTGGAGCCAGAAAAAAATCTTTCTCGAAACCAGTTGCAACTTCTGAAGGCTCTAGTAGTGGTTTAAATTCAGGTGGAAGGCAAAATGCCTGTTGGGTTCGCTGTTGATTTTTTGGATTATATTTTTAAAAATGTATCACTGGAAGTACGCTGTTATTCATAACAGCATGGATTTGAACTCATTAAATTGATGAAGGTCAACCTTCAAAGGAGGCAAAAGCATAACACGAGGTCATTAGTCATAAAACTCAACCCTTTAGATTTGACTGAAAATCCAAGAGAAATGCGATGTCCCCCAAGGCACCGCTTTATAGCATCTTCATATTGAATCGCTCTAAAATCCTGCATCAAATTAGACATGTTTGCAACCCACCTTTTAGACACGATGCTCGATTGCTTATAATAACTAGACCGCGAATAATCTTGCGTGTTTTGTGCTCTTTGCTTTATTTTTCTTATAAAAATAAAACTTTTTGGACAAGTTAACAGTCTTTATCTTTTTAAACATAATTTTTGAAAATTGAAATAGGAAATTTAATAAAAAAAATCAAGATACGTGCAGAAAAGTTACGTTTAAACTACTTGTTCTTGAATCAAAATTGATTATAAATTATTCTAAGTTTCTCCTCAAACAAACTTTCCCATGCGATCTGCAAGATCTTTTTGAGCATATCCAAATTGTTATCCTGCACTTTTTATCAATTCAAACTTTATCATTTTTTTTCAGATTTAAAGATCAGGTTTAAAATGGTTCAATTTAAAAGAACAATGGTTATAATTGAGAGCGATTCTTGAAATGATTCAATTGAGGTTTCGAACTCAATTTTCGGTTTTAACTGAACAAAAAGACCCTGATCTTCACATATCAAATATTTTGAATTCAGTTAGTGCCAGGGATAATTGGGAGATTCCAAGTGTGTTGCGAGTTAGCGGACTTTTTGTATTTTCGTAATTGCTAATTGCTACGTCATACGAGTTGTCTGTTTGCGAGTTGTCGTTTGTTGCGAGTCGTCATGCTACGACTCCTTTCACACCATAGAAAAAAGAAACGAGTAAACTCTACTGACCTTGGTAGTAGTTGATCATGGAGTCCATCATCTCAGTTTTGCCATGCTCGTCAACGACATCTCTATAGGCGAAGAAACAGCCAACCAGTGCTACCAGAAGCACAATGGACAACCCGAGGAATAGGGCGAACTAAAGATTAATAATTTAAATTAAAACTAAAAGCCGATTGTTGTACAGTTGTACAAGTATAAAGCAAAGTAAGCTGTTATCATATTATTCAGTTTAATCATTTTGCTGAGAAAATCAAATTGACTTTCGAAGCTTAAAAAATGTATGTTACTGTGAATGTTTCTAAAAAAACGCAAATTTGGTGCAGCTCAATTTTTTTTACTACAAAGTAGTCAGTAGTAACAAAAATAGACGCAGAAGAATAGATTGCCTTCCGTTCTAAAAAGTTTGACGAAATAGGGTTCTTCTTATTGTTTTGGCAGAGCTCAATTAATCATTTTTGTTGCGCAGAAAAAAAAAGACGTTGATGAAGAAAAATTTAACTTTAGTATCTCAAATCTGTAGAATCGAATCACTAAGTTTCGAAGTTTTTTTTATTATGACGATCTTTTTATTTTTTGTTTTATTTTTTTTTTCATTATTCTTAAGTTCGACGAGCTCAAACACCAGTTTTATAAAATTTAGAAGATAATATTAGAATATCAAGTTTGATCTAACGGTGGAAAGGCAGCCGAAGCTTCGTCTGCAGACACCACACAGGCCTACAAGACTGAATAGAACGAGTGCACAGGAGAGACCCAGAGTGATGTAGAGGGCGATGGCAATGGATCCAGTTCCACTCACTACCTGCACAGAAAAAAAGGGGAGAGAATGCTATTGATTGTTTTTTAAATAATGGCAGATTGACAATAAAGCTTGCACTTTTGTGGTATCAGGTATTATAACAACAATAGCTGGTTTGAAGCACGGGTTAGGAGTACTGTTTTCACAAAAAAAAATATTTAAAAAAACTATATTTCTTTAGATTTTCTTTTATCGTTTTTATTATTTTTTGTAAATTCCGCTTTCTTGTTATGTTTTGAAATATTGAACAATATTGCAGGTTAAAAACTAGCTATCGGGAGTTAATTGTTCTGTTGAACATGCTTCTTTTATTGCTATCCTGGCGTACTTCATCCTGGAGTCGTACAGCCTGGTGAGCCAGTTTTTTTTTGTTTAACATTCACTTTTTTAAAAAAAAAAAATTGTCATTTAATATTTGGTAATTTTTATTGCATTTAATTGCAGTAGGCAGTAGTTGAAAAATGAAGCACTAACAAAAGGTGTGGTTTTCTGCAAAATCATAAAAATTGAAAATGTAAGCAGTTTCAGTGCTTTGAAAAATATTTTATAATTTGAAAAAACTCATTTTTTCTAAAGCACCCCGGTTGAAGCTTGTCATACAGTTTTTACATTAAGAAAAATGTACGCACGGAAAATATATGATAACTTTACAATAAGAATTTTTCATGAATGGAAAATAAATGATTACCACTTTTTAAATGAAAATTGTATGTTAAGTTTATTTCCATAAAAAATCGAGTTTCGCTTTGATTTTCATGTTTTGTCAAAAAACCCAATTACAAGAGTTTTCATTTTAGAAACACATAAATATTTTAGGGCAAAAATCATGTGAGCTGCATTGGAAGACTTGCAACAAAGTTATACTAATAATTTCACCCAAAATATATCTGGAAATATAACCTTTTATAAATGGATAGAAAACTTTACTCTAAAAAACCTTAGTGTTTAAGTTTTGTGGCTTTCTTTGTTTCACAGAAAGAAATTAATCTTGTCATATGAAACGTTGACAATAAAAATTTCGGTTCACACAAAAAAGTTTTTTCACTTGTGATCATTTCTACGAGAAACTCAATCTGGAGAAAAATGCACAACATTTTGTATGCAAGTTGTTGATTTGGAAATTGTTTGTTTGAGCATGGAGATGCTTTTGCAATAAAACAGAAAAAAAATGTACACTGAATTTTGGATTTTTCAATTCGAACGTTTTTCTAGCCATATAGAAAATGTTTATCATACAGTTTTCACATTCAAAGTTTCTATGACAACTTTTTTTTTTATACACTCAAGGTAGGAATCGTATAATAACCAATTATTTTTCGCAGAACTGAATGATAAGAGATCAACCCTGTATTTAGTAATAAACTCTTTTGAAGTTTACACGTGTTTAGTTCTAACTAGCTAATGAGGCTAAACTGCACAGAAACTGTTATAACCACTGACTCTAAAACATTCTTCGTTTTTTTTCTGGTAATTATTTATTTATTTAGGTACCCAAGTTAATGAAAAGTTTCAAATACTGTATTTACTTTTCACTATCTTAAGAAAACTCAATTTTCAGCTCCAAAATTTTTCATTTTTGAGAAAATGTGGTTTGAAAAGTTGGAAAGACAAACGAAAGGCTATAGCGAGATGTATATACAATTTCTCGTCCTAAAAGAAAAATTTAAACGGTTCAGGATATGCAAATTTTGTACCTTGAAACAAATCCTCCCCTACGCAAAGTGAGGTGGGGTAGTTACCTTGATCCTGAAACTGTTGTAAGCGGTACATTGTGTTTAAATTTTGAAACACAAAAACTATTCAATGAAAGTTGACAGTGTTGAACCGGGTCGAGGTGCTCACTTTATATTTAAACTTCCAAGTTCGAGCCCATTTCAGTGCTCGACCGATAACAATAGTCAAAACAGGGGTTTGGTTCAAGCACAATCTCAAAATATACCTCGAGCACGGCTGAGCACAGTCGAGAACTGTCAAGCACAGTCGAGCATGGTCAAAACATGCCTCGAGCACGGTCGAAACATACCTTGAGCACGGTCGAAACTTACCTCGAGCACGGTCAAAGCATAACTGGAGCACAGTCAAAACATACTTTGAGCGCGGTCGAAACATACTTCGAGCACGGTCGAAACATACCTCGAGCACAATCGAGCACGGTCGAGGACGGTATAACATATCTATTGTTCCGCTGTAATTCGAAGTCAAAAAGTATTTTTTTTTCAAATATCAACATATTTTTTTAAACATTATCGAAACAGATGGCAAACCAGTCTTCCAAAAGATGGAAAAAATAACTCAAAAATAGTTCATATCTACAAAGAATTTAAACCGCCTATAAATCTAATCTTTTCATTCTGATAGAAAAGCCTCAAAAGATCATAGCCGAAAAGCATAATTTATTACGTTTCAGGATAACTCATGTTGTTTGAAAGTCAAAACATGCCCCAATTCGGTCGAGCTCGGTCGAAACATATCTTGCTTGCCTCGAGCACGGTCGAGCGCAATTTTTTCGGTCGAGCACAATCGAAACTTATCAAATTTTGGTCGAGCACGGTCAAAATATACCGATGTTTGATCGAGATGGTCGAAATATTAAGTGAACTCCACGATCCAGGGACTCTTCCTTCATCTAAATGTTTCTTAATTATTGAAGGTAATTAAAATGTGACTCAGCTACAAAATTGAACTCATTGTTTTGTAGTTTAGAAGAAATAAGAATAGGTAACATAACTTGAATATGGGTTCATCGACTGTTTCAGTTCCTTCAGAAATTCAGAATTTCTAGTGGGCATTAGTGCTACATTACTGCAATAGTGAAAAAACCGATGAACCCATAATCAAGATACTTTCGAAAAAATTTAAATTTTTTTTTGGTTCGCATTTTGGGTTTCAGCAGTGGTACAGCCACGAAATGAAAATATGTTATAACTAATAATTTTATAGTAGTTGTATATTATTCAAATGTTTGTAGTTTTATATTTCTCGGAAAACAGGACTAAAATCTACGGAAGATCGATTTTGATATTCACATTTTAAGTTAAAAGTTTAGCATCCTATTTCTTCCTCCGCAAATTTGTTCCGCAAATTTTCAATTTGAATTTAAGATTTTTAAATTACATGAATTACAAAAAACAACATTAATAACTGCTCAAAAAAATCCTTAGTTTTCACTTAGACGCATTGAGTCTTTTAATCAAAGTTCCGTGTATTTCAGTCAAGTATTCCAAGCAGAATCTAATGAAAAAAGAATTTTTTGATAAAAGCAACTGCGGTAAAAAATTAAAAGACTGCGGTTTGATAAAATTGATATTGTGAAAATTTGGTGAGGAATTTAGTTTTTTTTTTCACTTCTTTTGAAACGTTTTGAAAAGTGTTTTATCTTTTCTCCAAATTTTTCGAAGAAACGGTTTCACCGGTTTGTAAAAAAATTGGTATCACTGAAATGACCGCCCACTTTCCTGTGAGCCTGCATAATCCATTATTCTCTTTTTACAGTACCCTTCGAATAAATCGGTGGAGGAGTGTTTGAACCGTATTTTTAGATTTTTTAGTAAAAAACTAAAAACTACCAAACTATGAGATTTTGGGTTCAATAAAAAACAAGTAAAGACATGGAAACCGCTTTTTTGGAAATTTTATGACTTTTCCCGAAAACTATTATGCTGTTCACGAACAGGTTGTGGTTTTCTTGCTGCAAGCCGTTACTCCATATTCTCTGTAGAAAAAAATTATAGCCATCAGAAAAGTCAAGTTTCATGTTCTATGTGACCGTTTTTTCGAATTTGTTGACTTTTCTCAGAAGATATCCGAGAGATTAATTATTCAATCTAAGGGACCGGTTGCAACTATTTTTCCTGAAGAAGCGGCGAATCTTCAAACTTTGTCTTATGTCCGAGGGAAATTTCCAATATCTGAACTTTTCAGCGGTTTCCCAGTTTTAGCCAATAATTTCACTTATCCAAAAATATCCTGGCAATACTGAGATTTAGCGTTCATTCGAAAAAACAGGTTACTGGTTGGTTCAAAAGAACATGTTGTGAGAGAAATCATCTCCCCAACCAAATTTCGTTTCGTTTGAAAGAACGGATACTAGATTTAATATGTATATCCCCTACATAAGCGGTTAATCGCTTGTTTTAATGGAGTAACAACTGAAGTTTTTGGTTAAAAAAACTTTTTAAAATTTTGAAAATTACGGATGTCATCCCGCATCAGTAAAAGAATCTAAAATATATCAAACAGTTAACTCCAGGTTTAGCTGGGCACGTAGCTACAAAATATTTGCTTATGGCTCCGCCTCTCCTGGATTCAAAAATGCGACCCTCAAGTTCTAGTTATCATCATTGCAGAGATATTCACATGATCGCCTCACCCAGAGTTGCGAAGTTCAGTTACACTGTGAAGTTAGTTATAAGATATATTACTTCTGTATCCTACCTCCACTATTTCAGCGAAGTTCCATCTAATGAACACGTACAGCTGCACAGACAGCAACACCACGCCCAGGACCTGAAAAAGAGACTTTAATTTACCTCTTTGATAAAGATAGGAAAAAATGGAACTCTTATAGTATTTCGGTACCCGGGTCGACGTCTGCGGTTTACGTTTCGGTCGACTCGACCAAAAATCGGCATATTTGGACCACCTCGATCCAAGCTTGATAAGAATTTGTCGCAAAAATGATTCATTATAGATTTTTTTTGAGACCCATAAATGTTTTTATATGCAAAAAATGTAATTCGTTGAAAGCACGGTCAACAAACCCAACTTTTTAAGATAAGCTGAAGATATTAAGAAAAATTGTTCCGAAAAGTGTGAAAAACAATTTTCAGATGAATTTCTTTATTCGAATCTAGGAGAGTTGCTTTCAATCAAAATTTTCCATGTGCTACCTTAAAAATCTGAGATCTAGGGTCTGCATGATTGGTAAAGATAAACTCAATTAACAAATGTTACAAAATTTGTATCTTAAAAACTATTGTTTCCAAATAAAGAAAAAAGTTAATGTAATTAATCTGGCTGAAACCTTTTTCGAGTTTCCGAGTAAAAAAAGGACGAGGTTTCTTTGACGTTCCGCAAACACGCAAAAAAATTGCTGGGCTAAACAAAAACGCGTCGTATCTTTTTTTGAAATAGACGGAAATGGCAAAAAAAAATCAGTGGAGGTGGTCAATGTCTATGTTTCAGTTGCAACCATGATTCCTTTTGTCAAAAAATCCAAAACTTTTATTGCAGCTTTTGCAAACAATCATGACAAAAGCGCAGTAAAGCAACTAAAATTCGTGCGGGGAAATTTTCTTTTGCATTAATAAAAACCTGTTTATTTCCAAATTGTTTTATTTGAAGAGGCAGAATCTTACAAGTATCAACATTTTTGTTAACGACAACGATAACTGCGATATTGCGTTTCTCTAAAACTGCCTAGAAGATTGAATACATTTGTATCGAAGTCTGTCGCAAAAATGATCCATTATAGAATTTTTTTGAGGCCCAGAATTGTCCATAAAACGTTCGTCAATGAAAACACGGTCAACAAGCCTAACTGTTTAGGATAAGCTGAATATATTTAGAAGAATTGTTCAGAAAAATGTGAAAAAACATTTCCAGATAATTTTCTTAATTCAAATCTCTTGCATATATAGCGTCGGGGATCGAGGTTTGCAATCTATGTTGAGGTTTTAAGGGTCGCGGTCAAGCGCCTCATCATTAGTCGCAGTGGGTTTAAATACGCGGAAAAAGCATGAAAAGGCAGAAAATTGCAAGAAAAAAAAACGCGGAAAGTCTAAAAAGTACCGCTAAACAATTTCTGTTCAGTTTTTCATTGTCTTTGCCCATAAAATTGAGCGAAAACATTGTGTCCGAGTAAATGTTCAGTAAGAAAGCTGCACAAAAGAATAATACACCTAGACGAGTTGCTTTCAAGCAATCGAAAGTTTCCTTGCGCTTCCTTGAAGAATCTGAGATCTAGGGTCTCCCAGATTGGTAACGTCATACTCAATTAAAAAAGACAACCAAAAAAATATTTTTAATAACCACTTTATTCATTAAAAAAAATTAATCTGTTCAATATAGATGAAACCTATTTCGAGTAAAATAAAATCATCATGTTTTTTTTGACATTGCGCAAAATTTATTTGACTGAAAAAAAACGTGTCACATCTTCTCTTAATTGGGCCAAAAAATCAAAAAAATTCATTAGATGTTGTCGATGCACAAGTTCCAGTAAGAACCGTGCTTCAAATTGACGAAAGTATCAGATTTCTTCAACGTAGCTTTTGCAAACAATCATGACAAAAGTGCAATAAAATAACTAGAACTCATGAACGGAAGATTTCGTTTGCATTATCAAAAACTGATTTGTTCCAAAACTGTGTTATTTGAAAAATAGTATCTTACCATTTTTTTCTTAGTATCAAATATTTTGTTAAAGATATCTTTAACTGCGATAATGCATTTCTACAAATTTGCCTAGAAGGCTAAAAAGTTTTATGTCGAAATTTCTCGCAAATATGATTCATTATAGAACTTTTATGAGACCTAGAAATGTTGATATATCCAAAAAATGTTCTTAATTGAAAGCACGGTCAACAAACCCAACTGTTTAAGATAAGCTGAAGCTATTAAAAAAAATTGTTCGGAAAAGTGTGGAAAACAATTTTCAGATGTATTTCTTTATTCGAATCTAGGAGAGTTGCTTTCAATCAAAATTTTCCATGTGCTACCTTAAAAATCTGAGATCTAGGGTCTCCAAGATTGGTAAAGACAAACTCAATTAACAAATAACACAAAAATTGTATCTTAAAAACTATTGTTTCCAAACAAAGAAAAAAGTTAATTTGATTAATCTGGCTGAAATTTTTTTCGAGTTTCTGAGTAAAAAAAGGACGATGTTTCTTTGACGTTCGGCAAACACGCACAAAAATTGCTTGGCTAAACAAAAACGCGTCGTATCTTTTTTTGAAATGGACCGAAATGGCAAAAAAATCAGTGGAGGTGGTCAATGTCTAAGTTTCAGTTGCAACCATGATTCCTTTTGTCAAAAAAGCCCAATGAATAGGTAGAAAATAGAAAGAAAAAAAACGCAAAAGTCTAAAAAGAAGCGCGAAACCATTTCTGTTCAGTTTTTCATTGTCGTTGTCCATAAAGTTGAGCAAAAATCTTGTGTCTTAAAAAATTATTCAGCAAGAAAGCTGCACAAAAGAACAATAAACCTAAAGGAGTTGCTTTCAAGCAAACAAAAGTTTCCATGCGCTTCCTTAATGAATGTGAGATCTCGGGTCTCTCAGATTGGTAAGGGCATACTCAATTAGAAAAGACAACCAAAAATTTATCTTAAAACCTATTTAATTCATATTGAATAAGAAAAGCCTAATCTGATCAATATAGATGAAATCTATTTCGAGTAAAATAAAATCATCATGTTTTTTTGACATTGCGCAAACACGTGCAAAATTTATTTGGCTGCACAAAAACGTGTCATATCTTTTTTTAATTGGGCAAAAAAGTCAAAAAAAATCCTTTAGATGTTGTCGATGCACAAATTGTAGTTACAACCACGATTCATAACATCAAAGTATCTGAACATTTCAACGCAGTTTTTACACTTGATCATGACAAAATTGCAGTTATATAACTAGAATCCATGCGCGGGAATTGTCTCTTGCATTTAAAAAAAAAATTGTTCCAAAACTGTTTTATTTGAAAAGGCAGAATCGCACAAGTTTCAAAGTTTTGTCATTATTGACAACGAAAAGTGCAATAATGCGTCTCTCTAAAACTGCCTAGAAGGCTAAATAAATTTAAATCAAAATTTGTCGCAAAAACGATTCATTATATATTATTTTTGAGACCCATAAATGTTTTTCTATGCAAAAATTGTAATTCGTTGAAAGCACGGTCAACAAACCCAACTGTTTAAGATAAGCTGAAGTTATTAAGAAAAATTGTTCAGAAAAGTGGAAAACTATTTTCAGATAAATTTCTTTACTCGAATCTCTTGCATATATAGCGTCGGGGATTGAGGTTTGCAACCTTTGTTGAGGTTTCAAGGGTCGAGATCGCGCGCCTGATCGTGAGTTGCACTGAGTTTAAATACGCGGAAAAATGCCCATGAAAAGGCATAAAAACAGAAGAAAATCCAAAAAGTGGCGCTAAACAATTTCTTTTCCGTTTTTCATTGTCTTTGTCCATAAAATTTAGCACAAATCTAGAGTCCGGGTAACTTGTTCAGCGAAAAACTGCACAAGGAAATAATACTTCTAGGAAAGTTGCTTTTAAGCAATCAAAAGTTTTTATGTGTTTTCTTAAAGAATCTGAGATCTAGGGTCTCCAAGATTGTTAAAAGTGAACTCAACTGAAAAATATGTATGTTAAAACTATTCTATCTTTGTAAAGAAAAGACGAAAAAACTTAATCTGTATAATATGGCTGATACATTTTTTGAGTTTGAAAAAATCAAGATGTTTTTTGACATTGCGCAAGCACGCGCAAAAATTAATTAACCTGTATAAATTTGCTAAAATTTTTTTCGAGTTTAAAAAAATTAAGACGTTTTTTTTACATTGCGCAAACACGCGTAAAAATTATTTGGCTCCACAAAATCGTTTAATGGGCAAAAGCAAAAAAAAACCACTAGAGGTCGTCGATGCACAAGTTTCAGTTACAACCATGATTCAAATTGTCTAGAATCCATGCGCGGGAATTGTCTTTTTCATTTTCATAAAAAATTTTGTGCCAAAACTGTTTTATTTGAACAGGCAGAATCGCACAAGCTTCAAAGATTTGTCATTGACAACGAAAACTGCGATAATGCGTTTCTCAAAAACTGCCTAGAAGGCTAAATAAATTTAAATTGAAAATTTTCGCAAAAATGATTCATCATAGAACTTATTTGAGACCCATAAAAGTTTTTATATGCAAAAAAGTGTAATTCGTTGAAAGCACGGTCAACAAACCCAACTGTTTAGGATGAGCTGAAGATATTAAGAAAAATTGTTCAGAAAAGTGTGGAAAACTATTTTCAGATAAATTTCTTCATTCGAATCTCTTGCATATATAGCGTCGGGGATTGAGGTTTGCAACCTATGTTGACGTTTTAAGGGTCGAGATCGCGCGCCTGATCGTAAGTTGCACTGAGTTTAAATACTGAGAAAACGCACATGAAAAGGAATAAAAACAGAAGAAAAAAACGCGGAAAAGCCAAAAAGTGGCACTAAACAATTTTTTTTCAATTTTTCATTGTCTTTACCCAAGAAATTGAGCAAAAATCATGAGTCCGGGTAAATTGTTCAGCAAAAAGTTGCACAAAGAAATCATACTTTTAGTAGAGTTGCTTTCAAGCAATCAAGAGTTTCCATGTGATTCCTTAGAGAATCTGAGATCTAGGGTCTCCCAGGTTGGTAAAGATGAACTCAACTGAATTTTACGTATGTTAAAACTATTCCATCTATGTATAGAAAGAAGGAAAATTTTAATCTGTATAATATGGCTGAAACCTTGTTCGAGTTTGTGAAAATCAAGATGATTTTTGACA